GTGGGTCTTGCTTGAGTCTTTTGCAGATACTTTTCCGATTTTGCCAACACCATTTGTTAAAAAGGCTATCGTTTCCCCACTTAACTGATTTCATCTCCTTGTCAAAAATCAGTTGACCATAGATAGATGGGCTGATCTCCAGATTCTCAATTCTATTCCATTGATTTATGTGTCTGTCATTCTACCAGTACCATGCTATCTTTACCACCACTGCAATGTAGTAGGATTTGAAATCAGGGAGTGAGATACCTCCTACCACTCTTCTATTTTTAGGGAGTGCTTTTCTTATTCGGAGCTTCTTTCCATTACATATGAAACTGGAGATTGCCTTTTCCATCTCGTTGAAGAATGGGATTGGTATTTGTATTGGGATTGCATTAAACGTGTAAATTGCCTTTGGTAGTATTGCCATTTTCACAATATTGAGTCTTCCTGTCCATGAGCAAAGGATATTCTTCCACTTCTCAAGATCTCTTTTTGTTTCTTGTAGTAATGTTTTGTAATTTTCTTTGAATAGGTCCTTTGTGCTTCTGGTTTAATTTATTCCCAAGTATTTAATCTTGTGATTAGCTATTGTGAAGGGTATTGTTTTTTCTTAATACCAGCTCTGTATTCTCTTTGTCACTGTAGAGAAATCCAACTGATTTTTGTATATTGATCTTGTATCCTGCCACTTTGCTAAATTGGTCCACTGTGTCCAATAGTTTTCTTGCTGAGTCTTTAGGGTTTTCTAAGTATACTATCATGGCATCAGCATAGAGGGAGTATGTATCATTCTTAAAAGAAAGTAAGTTAGGTTTTGCTGAGCTGACCCGGCCTCCAGGTAACCCTGTGTGTGTCAGAGGAGAGCTCTGTCCCAAGGGCTTGCATGATTTTTCGAAATAGATCATCAGACCTCTTGTCCATGGCCCATCCAAGGTCACTTCTCTCTGAAGTCACCCCTCCAAGGTCACCCCTCGAGGTCACTTCTCTGAGGTCACCCCTCCGAAGTCACCCCTCTGGACTCTGGGCTGTCCAGTCAGAAACCAGACTGAGTCTGCCAAATCTCATGGCCACTGCAGCTGAGCTATCCAGCTGGGAACCGGGCCGAGTCTGCCCCCTGATCATGGCTCCGGTGTCCCCACTGCCGCTGGGCTGTCCAGCTGGGAACTGGGCCGAGTCTGCCCCCGATCATGGCTCTGGTGTCCCCAGCTCAGCCGGACTGTCCAGCCGGAAACCGGGCCAAGTCTGCCCCCTGATCACAGTTCCGATGTCCCCAGTGCAGCTAGGCTGTCCAGCTGGGAACTGGGCTGAGTCTTCTGGATCTCATGGCCGGGTGTTCCCACTGCAGTTGAAGCGCAATCGTGAGACAGAAGTCCAGCTGAAGCCGCTCGTGGAAAAGAACAAACGGATGAACAAGAAGAATGAGGACCTACTGCAGAGCATCCAGCGGATGGAGGAGAAGATCAAGAACCTCACTCGGGAGAATGTGGAGATGGTGAGCCCCGGGCTTGCGTGGGAACTTGAGCCCTTGGACACCCACTTGCTTCTGGGTGTGCAGACCATCTGACAAGGCCTTGTGGAAGGATTTGTTTGGGTTTTCTCTAGTAAGAATGGCTGGTCTTTGTAGTCAGGGGGGTATCTTCTAGTTCATTGTTTATAGATGAAGCAGTGTGAGTTGCCTCATTTTACAACCAAGAACATTGAAGTTCTAAGAGTTCAAGGCATAGCAGAGGCAGGTGGGAGTGAAGCTTCTGGTGCAGGGTCCTTACTGTCTCCCCCTCGACCCTCTGGCTCTCCAGGGTTCATCTCAGCCAGCTGACTGTAGCCCTCACGTTTCCTCCTGGGGGCTGGTGGGGGTCCTGGCTCTGTCCTCTCCATCCTCCTCTGTGCTCACCTCATCCGTTCACCTGCTGATCCCTCCATCTGCTGTCTCCCGAGCTTGCATACGGTGTGACGAGGGCTGGGGGCTGGTGGGGGTCCTGACTCTGTCCACCCTCTGTCATCGTGGCATCCTCTGCCCCGCCTTTTCCTGAGTCTGCATCCTGTGTAATGCACACTGTGGATGTGTGGGCCGTAACCTTGGGCACCCTCCACTCATGCAGAAGGAGAAGCTGGCGTCCCGAGCCTCCCTGAAGCGGCACACATCCTTGAGTGACCTCAGTCTGACGAGGGACGAGCAGGAGATTGAGTTCCTTCGGCTGCAGGTGCTGGAGCAGCAGCGTGTCATTGATGACCTGTGTCTGGTACGTGTCCACAGTACACAGTGGAGAAGGCCACTCCTGGTACATGCCTCACCTGGGCGCAGCTGCCCACAGCACATGGAGTGCCTGTGCCTGTCCATGTGCTTCCTGGGCCATGGGGTCTACAGTACACAGAGTGGGGAACAGGACTGGTCTGGTCATCTGGGACCAGGGATCCGTGGGGTGGGCCCAGGCTGACCATCTACATCTGTGCCTGGTACCTGTGCCACCCGGAGCATGGGCTGGGGCTGGAGCCTGGTCAGCAGAGCAAGCCCAGCTCTGATGCATCCTGATCTCATGTGCCTCTTATTCTTAGTCTGGGGCACAGTGGTCCTCAGCCTCACTCACATAACTCCTGGTACTGATTGGGCTTTGGTGGCCTTTTTCCTCAAGTCATCTCCATATACCACATTAATAAACAGCATCAAGTTTTAAGATGAGGCTGAAGCTTTCCTCACATGAACGTGGTCTGATCTTGTCATCTCACAGATGTTGCAGCTTTGACATTGCAAGACAGTGAGCTTGAGCCTGAAAGCTCAAATTTTGGTTTATAATCACATTGAGGCTTGAAGGGCTTGTTAAAACAATGCATGGGTGTGCGTTTGCTGGACATTCATATAGGTGCAGATATGGTTAAGGAGGGTGGATTCGTAAGTAGATGAAGTTTGGCAGCCAGAGCATGTACACATCTCTGTGGGATCACTCCCATCGGAGAGCTCCGGTGGCCTACTGGTAAAAATATGCACTGCAATCCCGAAGCACACGTTTGAATCCCCCAGCTGCTTTGTGGGAGGATGGGCAATCTCCTGCACGATTCCTGCCTCTGGAAATCCACTGGAGGGTCAACTATAGGTTGGTTCTGACTCGATGTCACACAACAACAACAACAACAACAACAACAACATGGGACCCTTCAGAGAATATAAAGCTGAATCTTAGAAGAGTCATCTTAGAGAGATGCGCTCTCTCTATCTATCCACCATCCATGGATCCATCCTTCATCCATCCTGCCACCCATCCATCCATTCACCACCATCCATCCTTCCTCCCATCTATCCATTCACCCAACCATCACCCATCCATTCACCACCATCCGTTCTTCCTCCCATCTATCCATTCACCCAACCTTCACTGTCCATCCCTCTACCCATCCATCCCTCAACCCAACCGTTCACCATCTGATCATCACCACCATCTACCCACCCACCACTTTTCTGCTCACCATTCACTCATCTATCCACTTAGCCATCACTCATCTGTCATTCACTCACGACTCAGCTGTCATCCCCTTACAATCTGTCCATCCATTCACACATCTATCATCTGTCCATGTGCCTGCCACCCATCCATCCAAACATTATTTGTTCATCATCTGTCCGTCCACCCACCTACCCACTTGCTTGCTGTCTGTTCATCTACTACCCATCATCCTTTCATTCTTCCTCCTTCTCTGCATTTCTTCCCTCCTTCTCTCTTTTATCTCCTTCCCTCTCTCCATTCACCCTTGTATCCACCCCCTTACCATCAGTCCATCCATCTAGTCGCCCACTCACCTGATCCTCCCTCCCTCCCTTCCCATCTGTCTCCTTCATCTATATTTCATTACACAAAGACTTGAGTCATCTTAGGCTTGACTCAGCATATTCAACAAAACAACAATAAAATAGAAGGAGGCATAATAATCTAAATAAAGACTAGGAAGAATCTAGACAACCGTGTTAGTCCAGACCAGGAGGCAAAAACGGGAGGCTGAGACTAAGCCCCAGGTGTGACTGGGATCTAGGGCCCAGGGGTGGAGTGGTGAGGTCCTGGGGTCAGAGTTGGGGTCTGGGGACTGATTGTCCAGTGCCTGGAGTCTGAGACTGTGAGGTGTGGATGCTGTGTCCCCTAGGAGCGAGAACGGTTGCTGCGCTCCAGAAGACCACGTGGGAGGAGCCTGAAGCCGCCCAAGGTGAGCCCATGGGGCTGGTAGCTGGGGCTACAGGGCTGCGGTGGTCACATGGTCCCAAGAGGTCTGCAAGGAGGAGCCTCTGGCCTGATGTGTGGTCTAGTGACTCAGCCTGTGGTGCTGGGGCAGGTCACATGGTTCCGAGAGGTCCACAAGGAGGAGCTGCTGGCCTGACCTGTGGTGTTGGTGGCTGGGGCTACAGGGCTGCAGCGGGTCACATGGTCCTGAGAGGTCCACGAGGAGGAGCTGCTGGCCTGGCTTGTGGTGTTGGTGGCTAAGGATGCAGTGCTGGGGCGGGTGAGCAGTCCGGGGATGGCTTACAGGAGAAGCTCACTGGGCCTGGCTGGTGAGGCAGAGGGCTCTTGCTGTCACTGTGGGGGGCTGGTTAGTGGTCCTGGGAGTGGACTTCAGGGAAGCCTGCTGGTCCTGGCTAGTGAGGCTGAGATGTGCTGTCACCATTGGCTCTCAGAGCAGTGGGGTTGGGCCATGCTGGCTGGCCCAGCGTGATGGCAGCTCTTTCCTTGTGGGACGCATATCAGGTGGTCTGTTAGGCTTGGGGTATGCTCCCCAAAAGTGGAAACAGGCACTCTTGGGCCCAGGAGTGTTTGAAGGACTTGAGGCTGGTGTGATATCCCATGTACCCTATCCTGAGCAGCCAGAGTGGGGCTTGGGGTGGTGTAAACCTACCGCCTGCTGTGTTCACAGGGGCTCTGCAGGGGGTGGGCCGTGTGGGCTCTGACTCCACATCCAGACCTTTCTCTCAGGAGACACTGGGTGGTTTTCAACAGTCAGCCTTCATTTTAGCAGCCAAATGCAAAGTCACACCACCGGGGCACCTTTGCTCCTTTTAAACTGTTTTCTGAGAATTAGCTGAGCTTGAGCTCTGGTGACCTAGTGGGGAAGGCACAACACTGCCAACCTAAAGACAAGCGGTTCGAATCCACCAGCTGCTCTTCCCGAGGAAGGTGGGCACTATCTTCTCATGTGACTTCCAGTCTCTGAAAACCCGTGAAGGGTCAGCTGTGGGTCAGATCCAGTGGCAGTGAGCAAGTGACCAGGCTGGGCTCGTGACCAAGGTACTGCCCTCTGGCTCCCTCTACTGTGACAGGGAGGTCAACGCCACTGACAAACGCCAAACTCCCTGCCTGCATCTGCCTCACAGCCCTTTAAGAGAGCAGAGACCTATGTGCCTCTGAGGTTGGGATCTCTGCAGGGCAGACCTGTCACAGGCTTCTGCGGGGTGGCTGCGGGTTCAAATCACCAGCCTGCTGGTTAGTGGCCAAGCTCTTCCTCACCTCCCTGCCAGGGCACAGTCCACCCAATGTCAGCCCCTCATGATGACAGTGTCCTGGTCCCTAGACTGACCACCCTCAGGTCAGTTCTCACAGCAGACCTGTGAAGCTGGTCTGGTGTAATCCCATTTCCAGTTACAGCAAACATGGAGACTTAAAACACAGGTTGAACTTAGTCAAAGTAGCTGGCTTCAGACTGAACAAGTGGACAGCTGACAGGATGTGTGGTCAGCGAGTGTTAAAGGTCTAGAGCAGGGCTGTGCCTCTGCACTGGCTGGACACACAGCAGATGCCAGCTGCTGAGAGCGAGCATTGTGTGCTTCAGCCTGTGACCCGTG